TTAGTGTCATTCAAGACTTATATAAATTCAAGCAAATTAACATGTTAATTTTTTTAATTTTTTTTTTTTAATTAAATTTAGGACTATCTTTAGAACCATTAATCGGAGCAATCGCGGCGGGAAACGCTGTCGTTCTAAAGCCGTCGGAGCTTTCTCCGGCTTCCTCTTCGACTTTAGCCGATTTAATACACTCTTACTTAGACACTAAGGCTATAAGAGTCATCGAAGGTGACGTCACAGTTGGTCAGCAGCTATTGCAACAGAAATGGGACAAGATTTTCTTCACAGGTTTTTATTTAATTTATTTCATGTATGTAATATATATATTGAATCTTCATCTAATTAATTATTTCAATTTGCATATGTCCGAAAAAATTAGGTAGTGCGTCCGTCGCTCGTATAGTGATGACTGCTGCGGCAAAGAATCTAACTCCCGTTGCATTAGAGTTAGGTGGCAAATGCCCTGCGGTTGTCGATTCTCTTTCGAGTTCTTGGGATCAAAAGGTTTTTTTTATTTACATTTTAAATCATGGATTATTTTGGTGACTTGTGTTTTTTTTCTTTCGAAAATGATTTTTTTTTCTTTCTCAGATTGCGTTTAATCGAATAATTTCAGCAAAATTCGGAGCATGCGCTGGCCAAGCCTGCATAGCGGTCGATTATATCCTCGTGGATAAGAAGTTTGCATCTACTTTGGTATTAATTATTAACATATATATAGGCACATTGCTTTAATTACAATTAACCAAATACATATATTATTCTAAACAATCGTGTGAATTCGATCGATATTTTTTTTTTTTTTTTTACTTTTTATTATTATTCAGGTTGAAGTGATGAAGGCTGCCATGCTGAAGATGTTTGGTGAAAATCCAAAAGAATCGAAAACGGTCGCAAGAATAGTCAACAAAAGTCATTTCTCGCGTTTAAAGAATCTGTTAGAGGATCCGATGGTCAAAGATTCTATCGTTCATGGCGGTTCACTAGACGAAGATAATCTGTTAGTACAATCCCCTCATCAATTATTTTTTTCTAATTTTGATTCAATTTTCTTCAAATATATATAACATATTTTTTTTTGGTTTTGCTGCTGCAGTTTTATAGAACCGACTTTATTGGTCGATCCTCCGATTAAAGCTGGAATCATGACCGAAGAAATATTCGGACCATTGCTTCCTATAATCACCGTAAACATCATCGTTGATCACAGCCGATTCTTACAAAACACAATAACTATGATTATCTTACATATCATATACATACATTGGCCGATGGAGAAAATTGAACACAGCATTGAATTCATCAATTCAATGCCGAAACCACTTGCTCTGTATGCATTCACAAACAACGAAACACTGATGAAAAAGTTGTCGACCGGAACATCATCCGGAAGCATACTTTTCAACGATGCTATGCTCCAAGTAAGTTACGTTTAATTAACAATTAAATAACGACAATGTATTATCGTAATTGATAATTACGTCTAGTTTTAGCTCGATTGATTATGATAAAAAAAAAATGTCGATGTTTGCTGCAGTATGCTGCGGATTCGTTACCGTTTGGCGGAGTAGGAGGGAGTGGATTTGGTCGGTGTCACGGGAAATTCTCGTTCGACGAGTTCTCACACGAAAAGGCAATTATGAGAAGAAGCTATTTATTGGATTTTTGGTTCAGATATCCACCATGGAATGACAATAAGTTGCAGCTGTTGAGATCTGCTTACAGATTTGATTATCTTGGGGTTGTTCTCATCATTTTGGGATTGAAAAGGTCTTGAAAATAAATATTAATTTGTGTTACTTTAAGAAATGTTCACTTTTAATTATCTTATTCCATAACGTGGGTTTTATGTAATGTATTTTATTAATAATGATAATTATTTGTAATTTTACTTATTTTATACTGATGCAAAATTTGTTAGTTCTTGATAATCATCCATTCATTCAATTTTTTTTTTTTTTATTTACTGAAGAAGCCTTAATCAACAATATAGGTGCACTAGGTAAACTTACATTTACGTATAACATAATCAGTTAAAGCAAATTACGGTCATCCTTGAGTTATGGTTAAATTACGAAAAATCCCCTCATGTTTAGATAATTACAGTCACCCCTCAACTATGTATTATTTTACGAAAAGACTCTTCCAGGGGTTAATTTAGGAATGTTAATTCCGTAAAACACAACCGAAATTTTGGTAAGCCAACGTTTCATACCGTTTACCGAACTAAATATACGACTTGGTTTGGTAAATAACCGAATTAGATTAATTTTGTGTACAAATATTTAAAAGGAAGGGGCGATTGTAATTACCAAAACAAAAGAAGTTTTTTTCGTAATTTAACCATACCTCAGGGGTTGCCGTAATTTACCCTTGATTTTAAGATAACTGAAAGCGTCTGAGTCCTATGAAAACATAGATTATTAATAAAAAGTTATACACTAGAAAAATAAATGTTTTGGTTAATAAGTAAAATAATTATTTTCTCAAACGAGAAAAAAAATAAAATAATAATAATAATAATTATTATTATATGGAGACAATATTTGAATGACAAATCAAAATCCTATATTATTATTTGAATCTGATACGATACGTCTACAAGAAAAACCGCCAAAATGGAAGCGAGTTTTCCCGCCATTTTGAACTCTTTCTACTTTAGATTTCCAGCACCCTTTCTCCCCTCTCTCCTCCTCTCTTCTTCCCCGCCAGGAAAAGAAACGCCGCCGCCGCACCACCGTGAGAATCTGGGACTATTATTGCCAAGACTCCGAAAGTAAAAAAAAAACCCTAAGATGTCCTCCATCAGAACCCCCAAATCGAAACAACGCATTTCTTCCTCAGACGACCTCACCGCACCCCTAACCCCACAAACCCCAGGCACCAATCTCCGCCGCTCCCTCCGCCGAGCCGCCGCCACACCAAAACGCTATCATCCATCCTCCAACCCGACCAATTCCCCAGATCCGGCCCTCACAATATTAAAAAATTACGAAAATGCCCCTCCGCACTCACCCACCACCATCGCAATCACCCCTATATCCCCACAACCCACCGAATCAAGGAGGAAGAGGAAATACCAATCGAAATCAGACGCGTCTGTTGAGCCAAAAAAGAGGGCATTGAGGAGCACCAAATGTAGAAATCCCGACAACAAAGTTAAGAAAAGGGTGTACTACAAAAGGGTGATGTACGATGGAGTCGAGTTTTCGGCGGGGGACGATGTTTATGTGAAGAGGAGGGAGGACGCTAGCTCGGATAACGACGAACCGGAGGAGGAATGCAGAGTGTGCTTTAAGCCTGCTGGAAATAAGATTATGATTGAGTGCGACGATTGTTTGAATGGGTTTCACTTGAAGTGCTCCAAGCCGCCATTGAAGGCGGTCCCCGAAGGAGATTGGGTTTGTTATTATTGCACCGCCAAGAAATCCGGAAAAATAATCGAATTCCCCGAGCCACCGAAGGGGAAGAAGAGGGCTAGGACTGCTAGGGAGAAGTTGCTTTCGAGCGATTTATGGGCTGCTCGTATAGAGAGGTTTGTGCATTAACTTCGGCATTGCTCCTCGTATTTTTAGAGATTCATTTTTGTAGTTTAGTAGTGAGTTTTAATGGTAAGATAATCTTACACTGTACTTTGTTGTCGATCTCTCTAGTTTGTGGAAAGAAGTGGATGGTACTTATTGGTACCGAGCACGGTGGTATATTATTCCGGAGGAGACTGCCCCCGGTAGACAATCTCATAATTTGAGGAGGGAGCTATATAGGACTAATGATTTTGCCGATACTGAGGTGATTCATCGTCTTTTCTATTTTATTCAATAGGATATGGTTGCTTATACTTTCTTTGAGTTGTTTATTCGACTTATCAAAATCATGTTCCAGATTGTTCTTTGATTACTTGTATGCTTCCAGAGTCTATTTAGCTATTAGTGATGGTCCCAATGTATATTCTCGTGGTGCTAAGATTCTTGTGTTTTTGAGGAGGAATTTTTTTATCTTATTCTTCTATGTGCAACGGTGTTTGTTTTATAGATGGAGTCGATTATTAGGCACTGTAATGTTATGACCCCGAAAGAATTCTCCAACGCTGGCAATGAAGGGGATGATGTGTTTCTATGTGAATACGAGTACGACGTACAGTGGCATAACTTCAAGCGCATTGCGGAGATTGACAGTAATGAAAATGTAAGTTGGGGGAAGGTGCTTCTAGCCAAACGGGCCTTGTATTTTCTTGAAATTTATGGGTTCCTATTTTAATATGCAGGATGGTGAAGGAGCTAAGGATGATGATGAGTGGAATTCTCAGGATGAGTCAGATCTCGTCTCGGAAGAAGAAGTAGAATTTGATGACGAGATCAAAATCAGCTCACTGTCCAGACCATCTCTAGCTCACCCCCTTGCTGCAGTATGTAAATTTGAACTTTGTCGAGACTAAAGTGTACATGTCTGTTTACTTGAATTAGATGATCGATCATTTTTTGCATTTTTATTTCAGAACTCGCGCAAGGGACGAATATACGGACTGCAAAAGATTGGGGTTAAAAAAATACCAGAACATGTTCGATGTCACAAGCAGACTGATCTGGAAAAAGCAAAAGCGACACTCCTTCTTGCAACATTGCCAAAGTCTCTACCCTGCAGGGATAAGTACGTAAATTGTTCGGGGTTACTAGATCACCGACTAAGGCACTACATTATCTCATTGCATGCTACAATTGCAGGGAAATGAACGAGATAACTACATTTATCAAAGGTGCTATATGTGACGAGCAATGCCTTGGAAGATGCCTCTACATTCATGGTGTTCCTGGAACTGGCAAGGTATAATATATTTAACATTTAAGAAAGAAAAAGAACAAGATAAGACCAGCTACCTGCTTATCCAAATTTTTTGCCAGGTCAATATAATTTTTTTTATTTGCACTGTACTGCAGACAATGAGTGTACTTGCTGTGATGAGGAGTTTGAATGCTGAGGTGGATGCAGGAACAATACGGCCTTACTGCTTTGTGGAGATTAATGGTCTCAAATTGGCTTCACCAGAAAGTATATATAGCGTAAGGGTGCTCGATGACCTTTTCTACTTTGCAGTATACGATGATGTACATACTTATGGATAACTTATCGATGTGTAATTTGTTCCAGGTGATCTATGAGGGTATAAGTGGACATAGAGTTGGTTGGAAAAAGGCACTCCATTTCTTGAACGAGCGATTTTCGGATGAAAATAAACGTGGGAAAGATACAAGGCCTTGTATTCTTCTGATAGATGAACTTGATCTCCTTGTTACAAGAAATCAATCAGTAAGTTGTGCATGTTTACGGCAAAACATTATATATACTCTTTTTGTTATTTTCAATTAGTTAAATGAGCGATATTTTTCGATACAGGTTTTATACAACATTCTTGATTGGCCTACCAAGCCAAATTCCAAACTTATCGTACTAGGTAAGCAATTCTTGCTGTCAATGCTAAATTTTGAGAATACTTGTACCGATCTCTGATTTATCATTCTTCGTATTGCATTATATACTCAGGGATAGCAAATACTATGGATCTTCCAGAGAAGTTGCTGCCGCGCATTTCTAGTCGCATGGGTATACAGAGGCTCTGCTTTGGTCCTTATAACTATAAGCAACTTCAAGAAATAGTATCTAGTCGCCTGAACGGAATTAATGCTTTCGAAAAACTTGCAATTGAATTTGCCTCTAGGAAGGTTTGCATGATTTGTACCCTCTCCTTTTATTCATCGTTTGAAATAGAGGAATAGCGAAGGACTCATTTGGACTAAATTTCGGGAGATTTTTTATGTGATAATCGTAGTATTTGACTTCAGGTGGCAGCTGTATCTGGAGATGCTCGTCGTGCATTGGAGATCTGTAGGCGAGCTGCAGAACTTGCAGACTATCGTGCTAAAGCACCTCCACTTTCTGCTAGCTCAGATGCTGCAGGCATGACTTTCTATAACCATTTCATCTCTTGTTTTGCTCTTTTTTCTTGTGTTCGATCGAAACTCACATCAGAATGAAGATAAGGAGAGATAAGAATTATTGGTCCACAGCCGAGTTAAATCTGACCTTAACCATAAATTATTCAAAATCACGTGCCCATTATTGAAACTAAATTATGTTTGTTTGTCCAGAAAGATACTTTGGCCAACTTCCTTGTTTTACTGGTATTGCAGGAAAACTTCTTGTAGGCATGGCAGATGTTGAAGCAGCAATAAAGGAGATGTTCCAGGCTCCTCATATCCAAGTGAGTTGAAAAATATACATCTATATATTTTTTTTCCTCCCTCGATTACGTTTAAGAAGTCATATTATATTTATTTTTTTCTTATTTCTTTTGTTATTTTCAGATGATAAGAAGTTCTTCTAAGCTGAGTAAAATCTTCTTGGCTGCTATGGTACACGAACTTTATAAAACAGGAATGGGTGAGACGACATTTGAAAAGGTATATCTCGCATGTGCCCTCGGGTTATATGTATTACATTACAAATCACTCATACCCACGTCTGTCTTTCTTTCGATATTACAACCTCTGATAGTATATTCCGTTTGACAGTTGGCAATGGCGGTCTCATGTTTCTGTTCTAGCAATGGAGAAATATTTCCTGGATACGACACTCTCCTGAAAGTCGGGTAAGCCACTATATAACATACATTATGAGCGTAATGACTAGCTCTTGAAAATCCGCAGGCTTATTAGAGACCATATTCGAAAAACGGAATTTAATTCTTGAATCGGCATTGCAGCTTTCTGAAGTTGTGCTTTATGAAATTGTTTTGGCTTAATGAGATTATTTGTCTCAAGTATTAATATCTATGTGTTAATGGGCAGATGCAAGCTCGGGGAATGCAGAATATTATTGTGTGAGGCTGGTACACGGCACAAATTGCAGAAACTGCAACTCAACTATCCCAGGTTAGTCTCTACGCAAACACGAAATCGAACCTTGAAAGAAAATTTTGACGTCTCACATATAAAACGAGGAAACAAAAATTAGATGTCTCTCACCGTTCTTGTTTATTTATAGCATTATAATGGTGATTTTCTCGTCGTGTAATTCGCAGCGATGATGTTACTTTTGCGCTGAAAGAAAGCAACGATCTACCTTGGTTGGCCAAATTTCTCTAATTCGACATTATTCAGACGTCCGAATTTGGATGATCCATGATGAGTTACAATATTTATACTTTGTATTTGGTTTCTTTAACTGTTAAAACTTTCTGGGAGGGATTAATTTTGTTTGGTTCTTTTTTTTTTCACTCAAAAGGATTCCAGACTTAAAAATGTGTGCTGGAATCATTTATTTAAACTAGTATTTAAACAGATCAAATTAAGACTCATATAGACTTTTATATAATTTTTTTATTGACAATGTTCCCATCATGTATCTTTATTTAGATTATTATCATGTATCTGCAGCTTCTATTGTCAAAAAAAAAAAAAGGTTTCTGTGGAAAGGGCAATTTATTAAGAATGCAACATTTATATAAAAATGCCAGCAATTATTAATTATAGCAGATGAGCATTAATAAATCAAACCTATCCACATTAAATCCAAAATCCTCGAACAATATACGTTATTACAACCACAAAATCATCGTAATAGTCCACTGTTCTAATTCTACAATGCAAGCAAAAAAGAGGCTACTTAAAAATTAAACATTACAATAACTAATGTCTTAACACCGACAATATCTGTAACATCAAGAAGGTTATAACTCTGTAAAGAACGTACGACAATCTAATATTTTCTGAAGTGAACTATATAATTTTCTTCCTTGCAACCAAGACTCTGCTGGAAAATCGGAAACAAAGAAAGATGTCTAACTTTGTTGTGGCAGTGAAGTGGTGCTCTGCCACAATGGCCTTCCCAGAATTGCATTCGCATGAACTGCAAGGTAGGCAGCATTTAACCTAAGAATAAACATAGATTATGTTCAATAGTGAGTCATCAATCGGATGAAATGATATATGAATTGTAGAAAATACGGGGAAAAGTTACTTGTCAACATCCGGTGTAGCCAAAGGATCATAAATTTCCTCTGTGTGTTCCGTATGTGGAGCAACACCTGATAAAGCGGCCATGTCCTGAGCCCCTTCCGCCTATATAATACAAAGATAATTATGTAAGCGGATTCATTTATATTTTGAAAATAAATAAATGGCTTTCACTGGAAGAATGCTGACAAAACAGAAAGACAGGTCATACAAAATCATGTTACCTCAAAAAGATTTAATACTCAATCCCTAGTTCATACATTGGAGTTACTTATAAGAAACTTTTCTGTAGCACTAAACAATGCATCTCTTTACAACATTGGATAACAACCAAAGGCTAATACAAAGAATATAAAAACTCCGCACACGACCTTATTTGCCACAGGCCATCCTAGACATATATCTGGAAGGTCACCCCAATAGACATGTATCATCCTAGACTATTGGATTTCGATCAATGCATTACCCCAAAGACTATCAGCATAACTACGATAATTACAAGAAAATGGAGATGGTGGCTAAACTAGACAAAATTTGTTGAAGCTTATTCAATATGGCACCATTTCACTTGGAGGACTTAAATACCATAAACTAATTAACGAATAAAAAAAGGATAAAAAAAAGTTACACTGACCTGATGAGGATACTGCGCATAACCAGCATATGCACCATATGCATACGCTGAAGGATCCTGAGCGGCTCCATAAGCATAGGCATCATAGCCTTGTCCATAAGCATAATAAGCACTCAATTGATTTGGATCTGCCGATTGACCCCAGGCACCACTTATATCCTACAGCATATATATAGTGCTAGTTGTCAACTACTGCTTCTTCTTTTTATATAGTACATACATCAACGTAAAATATGAAGTCAAGTATGCTCTACTAAATTTGTACAGATTTGGTTAGCTCAAACATGACTGTCTCAGCTAGAACTTAACCTGTTTTGGTGTTGGATATCTTCCCCAAGAAAGACGGACAACCTGCTGCCCAATCACAGTACCTTGCATCCTCTGGATTGATTCTTCTGCAGATGTCCTATGCAAGTAAACAGCAAGGGACCAAATCATTTCCCATGTGAGGCAACACATGCATAAAATTCAAAAGGTAAGACATTATCCAAACTGGAAACAAGGTTGTGCACTGTCAAACTCATGTATAATTAGGAAATCAGTAAAATTGTCGTTGAATTAAATTAATGTGACTAGGGAAAATAGGAAAATAGAGAAAAACGTAATAATAGATTTGTTTGTAACGACACACACAATCAGACATTCTATAGAGGTTTGCTCTTCAGTTATTGCTCGAAATCTACCAGCAGATAAGAGTTCTGCAAGCCAAAACTTACCTTGCAGCAAACTGCACAAAGCCACAGCCTTTGGCTACTGGGATCTTGACATAGACAATATCCCCAAATTGCATGAATATTTGCTTCAGTTCTTCTTCAGTTACATTAGGATCCAGACTACCCACAAAGACCTGCAATTCACAAGATAATTAACAGGGAAATAAATATGGAGCTACAGCATCAAAGAGCTTCACTTACAGTAGTGTTATTTATATCGTTATCCACTGGAACGGTCTGAACTGGCGCGGTGTACATCGGCGTTGGATATACTGCTGCAGAGGAAAAAAAATACTTCTTAGAGTATAGAAGACATCGGCGTTGGATATGCTCTCATACAGTACTCGTACAACTTGAATTCAAATTTAAAAATAAAAAAACTCAAGAAAGTGCGAGCATGCCCTATAAAAGGCATATTTTAGCAACAAACTTGAAGGGAACTGTCCACTGTGTTTCTTTAAAGATGATATATATTGTAATGCATCATTCCAAAAAAAAAAAAAGGGTGAACGAAATCATTCTGATATAATTGAAGGCTCCATTTGGATAGAAGGATTTGATTTGGGGAAAGGATTTAGAGGACGTATTTGAAATGAATCAATTGCTCAATTTATAACTAAAAAGGCGGGTTGGGGCCTTGAAATCCATCGCCAAGTCCCTCAATTCAAACAAGTACAAGGAATTTGTTATTATGGATTGAAATCCCTCCTCCAAATCCTTCCATCCAAATGGAACATAAGGGAATTACGTAGCGAGTAGCGACACCTTGCAAAATCAATATAAAAAACGACCTTTAGTTGCTGCATACTGTTGGACAGTCGATGTTTTCTTAGGAGCTGCTGCACTAATTCTCATGGGCCTGGTCGAGCAATAGACACCATTCATCTCAACCATTGCTCGGTTCCTTTCCATCTCATCAATAAACTTAACAAACCCGTATCCCTTGGAACGCCCAGTATTAGTATCTGTGACGACCTTGGCCCCTCTAACTGATGAATAGCTTGTTCGAAAAGTTTCCTGCAATAGATAATCCGTAACATCTGGCGCTAAATCCCCAACAAAAATAGAGTGCTCAGTGCCCCCATCTGGACGCCTTTCTCCTATTCCAGAAGACGCCCAATTCAACCTGAATGTTAGTTCAGTACCCGGAATTTGTGTTCCATTATAGGACTGAAGAACGCTTTCGGCTACTTGATGGTTAGTAAATTCCACAAATCCGTAACCCTCGGGCTGACCCGTTAGTTTGTTCCTAATGACTTTAATCGAGAGTACCTGCATTGAGAATTAACGACGAATTTTGAGTCCGATAACCCTAGATCCTGGAAAAAAATTGCAGAATAACCTTTTCATTTTCATTTTCTTTTTCTGTGCAATCTTTTGGGCAATTAACTAACAAAGAGAACATGGAGCTCAGAAACAGCTGAAACAATAAATTCACTATGGAAAATTTAGGGTTTTTTGTGAATTAGACATTGGTAGGTGACGTGTGCATTGCTCAATTGTGGTGGTCCGGTGGAGCCTGAAGTAGTAAATGCCACTGACACCACCATTGTGTGTTATCAGAAAATGGTAATAGTGAAGAGAAAGAGTTCACACGGAACCCAGCAATGAATGAAAATCGGCGCAACTGAATAGGGCGTGCGTACGTACCTCGCCGGTGTGCGAGAACCAGCCGCGGAGGTAATTCTCGTCAGCCCAGTAAGGCAAATCCCCAATCCAGAGGGTTCGGACTTCTTCCAGTGTGGTCGGCTGGTGATACGGCACCGTATGAGGGTTCATTTACAGTTACTTTTTTTTTCTTCTGCAAATCGATTTTCGATTCCTCTTCCGGTAGCAGCGGCCAATTCGCTCTTGCGCACTGTGGTGTTTGGGGGTTTCTGGTCAGGTTTCTTCTTAGGGCAGATGACAGAAACCGTCCAATCGCGCGCACCTCAAATTTCAATTAATTAGGCCAATAATTATTTAATTAATGACTTTTTTTTTTTTTTTTAATAATAATATATAATAGTTATAGTACACTCTATATCCAAATAGAGATTCAATACTTAAATCAAAAAAAAAAAAAAAAAAACTTCAATAAATAGTATTCTAAAAATCGGTTTCCGATGCGGAGACGGTCCAACATCGTTACAATTTTAATGTAAAGGTTGAAAACTAGGTTTATGATCGTGAGGTGGTCAAACTTTGGAGACAGATCAAACATATGTGGCAACTGTAAAAAAATCGTCTTTATTTAATTATTTATTTATTTAATAATAAAAACGTTTGCACTTTTAATTAGAAAAATAAATTTATGCTTTATTTTATTTTGTTAATGTACTTTTTTTAAAGTACCTAATCCTATATGATTGTTTAAGTATAATTTTTGATGCACAAGATTTTTCGTTTTATTTTTATTTTGTTTGAAAAATCATATGAGGGTCCGTCAAACGGGTTGTGTCTAAAATTGTGAAACTTATTACAATTATGTTTTAACTCATTCTCGTATTGTTTTGCAAAATGGCTTATTTTCCCGACCTATTTAGGCTTTTCTAGTTTTTATGGAACGATAACAACCACATTTCAAGCAAACAACCCGAAAAACAAAACTCAGGACCACAACTCATGGATCGCATCAGATTTTCGTATCCGACGTCGTTCCGACTAATAAAAATGAGATTTTACTATTTTAGGAAATTATTAGAAAATTCATATCAATTCATAGAAACATCAGATAAGGACTTCGTCAATTGTGTGACTTCTAAAATTGCAAGATCTATTAGAATTATCATTTAACTATGTTTGGCATTTCCCCGTCATATTTTTTCTATTTTTTTAATAATTATTTGAAGTGGGAGTGGTGGCATTTTTGTTGTTTCAGAGCTTAGAACAAACGATATTAAGGTCAAATGTCTGACACCTAACAGCGATGGCCACATTGAGACAATTTTTTAAATTCAGGGGGCAAATCGAGAAAATATAATTTCCCCAAAATAAAAATAAATCCATAGTTGTAGGCACGCACACATTTGTTGGCTGTCATTGAAAGGTTCAGCTATTTAATTGGTCCTCGTGAAAAAAGAACAGAAAGAATCAACACACTAGATGCTGTAGATCCACTTTTTAAATTCTAGTTAAATGTTTTTTTCTTCTTCTTTTTTTTTTTTTTTGTGCGCTTTGAAACCTTAATCAGTACGAACCTCAGATGCCAACGGTGCACATTAGCACCACTTTCTGTCGGTCTCCCTGTAACCAACTCCATTTTCGTTCCTCTATATTCGGAGTTCGGACAAACTGCCATCTTCCCAAACACCCCACCCCTACCCCTCTCTCTCACAATCACAGATTTTTATTTATTTTTCTTCACAAATGTAGATTTGCCCATTTAATGAAACGCATTGATTAATCATCTGAAGGAAAAAAGATTTTGCAAAAAACCCAGAAAAATATATTTTGTTGTAATGGCGATCGCTGCTGTAGTGATCCTCCCTATTGGTCTCATGTTCCTTTTGTCGGGTCTCATTGTCAACCTCCTTCAGGTATGCGTGCCCACCAACTGTTTGCTTTTTTGTTTTTCTTTGGTTATTTTAATGTTGTGTTTTTTTTTTTGGATCTTTCGAGCTTTTGATGATAGTTAGTTAAATCAAGAATGTGGGATTTGTGTGTGTATGTTTTTCATGTGGGCACATGGGAAAAAAAAAACACATTTCTTAGCCTTTTGTTTCGTTGGCTTGTTCAAATCATTAGTTGCAGATTCTTGGCTTGCATTTCGATTTTGGAAAAAAAGGTTTCGTTTTCGAGAAACCGAAATGATTGGCTTATTGCAGGATCACGTAATTGGAAGAAAAAAAATTGCTTTGAAAATGAATTGTCTGAACCTATGTCAATTAAAATTTGTGTCTAATTGTGGGCTGTTAGATACTATCTGGAATACTTGGGGTCACTTAACAGACTTATTAGGCTATTTAGAACGACGAGGACTAATTAATACGATCGTCACAACCACAAGGTTTAGTTTGCAAGTTATTTCCTTAAAATATGATCAACTTCATTAACATTTAACTGCTTTCCTCGGTTCGAAATTGTGCAATTTTTGAAGTAAAGAATGAAGACGACCATTTAGATTGCAATAGTCATAATATTTACTGTCTGAAGTTATATGTAAAGAATGACGAGTAGTCGACTACTACGTGGTCGTTAATATTAATGAAAATATATAATGTCTAAAGTACTGCATTTTTTTAATTCAATCTGCTTAACCTGGTACATTTACAGAATTCCTTACACGTATGCACAAATTTTCAGGCAATTCTATTGGTCCTTGTCCGCCCCCTGTCGAAAAATGCTTACAGAAGGATCAACAAACAACTCATTGAGCTACTATGGTTGGAGCTTATCTGGCTTTTCGACTGGTGGGCAAACATTAAGGTGTTCTGAAATTGTCGTATTTGTTCTTCGTCTATAATATTCTTACACTGAAGTTGCTTGTATATAACGACATAAACATGCAAATTATTACACGATGGAGCGCAACTCCGTTTTATTAGCACAAACTTTATGAAGTTCTGTAATTTTCAAGCACCGAAGAACAAAATTAATAATTTGAGAAAGTAGTGTTTTATTGGTATATATTGTATTCTATTGCATTGTATAATATGTTTGGTGTGACGGGTGATTATATTGTTCGACAGGTTGAGCTATTTGCAGATGAAGAAACTTTTGCAATGCTTGGTAAGAAATTTGAAACTGTCACCGTTTCACGTGCATGGATGTACATCCACGCGTGCAATGTTTCTGAATTTCGTTCATTATATTAAATTATGTTTGGTATAATTTCAGGAAAAGAACCTGCACTTCTCATTTGTAACCACAGAAGTGACATTGACTGGCTCGTCGGATGGGTCTTAGCTCAGGTTACTATTGATTCTTAGGAGTGATTCGATTTTTATTAGAAGATGCTATTTTTTATTTTAATCATTAATTTATTTATTTTGCATTTAATCAAGAATACTCGGTAAGTGGATACATATTTTTTTCCATACGTCGACTGAATATGGTCATATGACTATTGGCAGCGTGCAGGTTGCCTTGGTAGCTCACTAGCCATGATAAAGAAATCGTCATTATTCCTCCCTGTGAGTTTTTTATTTTTTAATTAGTCGGTCCTTTTAATTATAATAAACATTATTTTAAATCCAAATAATGACCATTGGTATTATGTACACAGGTTATCGGTTGGTCAATGTGGTTTTCTGGTTTTATATTCCTCGAGAGGAATTGGGCCAAAGATGAAAACACCATGAAGGTGCAGTTATAACCATATATCGTTCCCATCAATTTGGACACGAAAAATTGTCTTGGCATATATATTTTTTTTTCATCTTGATGTGTTATATATTGCAGTCAGGATTCGAGGCATTAAATGGTTTTCCAATACCTTTTTGGTTAGCTCTTTTTGTCGAAGGAACTCGTTTTACACAGGCAAAGCTTTTAGCAGCACAAGAATATGCTGCTTCGGCTGGTTTGCCTGTTCCAAGAAACGTTCTGATTCCTCGTACTAAGGTTATTTCTGTAATTAACTAGTGGGGCTTAATAATTTTTTTTTTATCTATAATAATCAGATAATATTTATTAATAATATTATTTACAGGGCTTTGTTGCAGCAGTAACTCATTTGCGAACAAATGTGCCTGTACTTTATAATACTACAGTCGCTATACCGAAAAACGAACCTCGGCCCACACTGTTGAGAATGATCAGGGGGCGCTCTTCTGTGGTACACAATTTAAATTTGAGTAACAAATTATTTATACAATAGTGAAAATATCGTTTATTACGATACGGGAAACGTGATTTATGTCTGACAATGAATCTTGGAAGTTTATTTTCCTATATAGAAGTTTCTGAATTCCACTGATTTTCGTGGCATTGAAAACTTCTATGCACCTAATTAAAGAAAATAAGATAAAAAGTTACTAATTATTACTAACAAGTAAACTTGCTAAAAAATTGCTTAACCTCCTGTTTTGTAGGTACATGTGCATATCGAGCGGGTTCTAATGGAAGAATTACCAGAAACGAGCAGTGGAATTGCTCAATGGTGCAAAGACGTGTTCGTGACAAAGGTAAAATAAACATATCAAATAGGAAATTGTGATTTTAATATCATATATATTAATAGTTATTTTGTCCCGTTAACCAGGACGCTTTCTTGGAGAGACATCTCGTTACAAACACATTTGGAGATCATATACGCCACGACATTGGGAGACCAAAACGATCTTTATATATATATATATATATATATATATATATATATATATATATATATATATATATATATATATATATATATATGTACATATATTTATTATATTGCTTGTTCAATAAGTTTGCTTCACCATACAAACTAATTTTTTTTTCTTCATTTTACACTCTTTCAGGTTGTGCTTTGTTGGTCGTTTCTCATAATTCTGGCAATAGTGAAAATTATCGAACTTTTCCCGTTTTCGTGGGGAGAAGTAGTGTTTTGCGTTGTTTTCTTGGGACTAATCACAATCCTTATGCAAATACTCATCACGTTTTCTCAATCGGAACATTCGACCCCTCCAAAGGGATCGGAGCCGGATCAGTTAAAGCAGGTGCTCCTTCAAAGTTGAGCCAACTTCAATTTTTTTTTTTTTTTTTGTATATTCAATTCTTTAAAGAAAAGGAAAGTTCTTTTGATGGATCCTAGAATGTAATATATAGCATATTAGTTGTACCAGAATGTAATGGTTTGGGAGCACACTATGCCTTGTGCACCATTTTTTTATTTTTTTCCCCTTAGTTTTATAACTTCATGTTGTGTAAGTCACCATAATTGGTTGCTAATTGTGAAGAAAACTAACATTTCTTACCATAACACCCTTTTTAGGGGAGGTGGATGTAAGAAATTTACAAACTATAGGGGTTGGATGTAATATCTAAAAAGTAGGGGAGTTTTTTTTTTTTGTAAATAGTTAATACCTCATGGAGGTGGTTGTAATTTATCCTAGATAAATTTGACACCGTAAAGATATACGTGTCAGACAATATTTAGTTAGTGGTGTGGTCGCAATTATCCAAACGAAAGAGGTTTTTTTTCGTAAGTTAACTCTACCTCCGTAATTTGCCCGGAATTTAGAATTAAGTGCAAATATTTATTGACACACAGACAATTGGATTTTATTCTGTTTACCCCCACTGAGGAAAATATCGAATTGGCTATTGCTTTCAAACCCAAACAGACCCTACAAGTATTGAATTGAATCTTCTTAATTAGGTCTATTTTGGACTTTTGCATTATATATAGAAAAAAAGTAATCGTATCTTGAATAAAATATTTTTTTTTTTTGGTAAAAAAAAAACATATAAAACTATTATTTGTCCATGAAAATGCCAGCGCATTCCACACATGCAAATGATAAAACAATTTGAAAGATAAGAAGAAAAAAAAAAAGCAAACCGCCATATTAAAATCACCAAATCTGGAGAAAAGATCACCAAAAAAAAAAAAAAAAAAAAAAGAATTACTGGCATGCCCACGTCAGCAATCTCGCCTCGATCATTCCGATTACTTCCGTGCTTCACTGTCTTACCATAAACCCCATTTGTTATCTCACAGAGCTACACACACACATACATACATATAGATACATATAGATACAGAGCGAGAGTGAAAAGATGGGTTCTTTGATGACAGAGAACAAAATGGAGAAAGAAGAAGAATCCGAATCAAAGGAACCGATTCTGTACGTTAATGGCGTCCGTAGAGTTTTGCCTGATGGGTTGGCCCACTTAACTCTTCTCGAGTATCTCAGAGGTCAAAAAACACTATCATTTTGAGCTGTTCATAATTTGTTTGTTACTTATATCTTTCTTGATTTTGGGTATGTGATTTTTTTTTTTTTTTTGTCTTTTAATGTTTTGATCTGACTAATTAGTGAACTCCATTAATTAATACCCAGCTCAGTGGCGTTAATCACCATTTAGTGGCAACTAATTCACTCATCCCTCAGTTAATTAGGTCACAGTACCTTTATGCATTATGTGGGGGCAAGCTGGCCTTTTTTCTCTTTTAGCAGTATCTTGAAGTGATCCAGTTTTATGTTTAATTGCGTTTCTTAAGTTTCATTCATTTTGTTGAATTAATAATTTTGAAGCATCTTTGTTATTCTTCAATGTTGATGATCATAAGAACTAAGAAATTGCACTTTGATTATGTGATTGTAGTCAGTCTACACCTGAAATTTCAAACATTATATTTGCTTGTGTTGATTTGGATGCTCTAACATGATGCAGTTTATGCCTTCATTTATGTAGGCTCTTCTTTGTTTTAAGTTTTTCACCCCTCCGGAAAATCTTCGTCTTCTTGAATTTTTTTTTTTATTAAATTTTTGTTTTGAACGTCTTCTTTGTTCATCCTTAATGCAGATATAGGGCTGACTGGGACAAAACTTGGCTGTGGCGAGGGAGGTTGTGGGGCGTGCACTGTGATGATTTCTTCTTTCGACCAAAAGTCGAAGAGATGTGTGTGAGTCTCTTTCTCTCTCTCTCTCTCTCTCTCTCTCTCTCTCTCTCTCTCTCTCTCTCTCTCTCTCTCTCTGTGTGTGTGTGTGTGTGTGTGTGTGTGTGTGTGTGTGTGTGTGTGTAAATATGTGGAGATAAATGTTACGGTAGATAAAGCGAACTTTGTATGGAAAACCAAAAGAAGATAACTGTCCTCCATTAACTGACATATTGAATTCAGTCGGCCACTTCTTGTTTCCCGGTTTACTTTTCAGATCAAATGTCGTATTGTGGTTCAATACCAATTGACACATGAAGTTTTTCTCGGTTATCTTAATAGTTCATTAAATTAACAGTAAAAAATAGAGTAACTCTTTATTTTACACAACTTGGAATGTCTTTAGGCATCTTGCGGTCAATGCATGCTTGGCTCCTTTGTATTCAGTCGAAGGAATGCACGTTATTACAGTCGAGGGCGTCGGTAATCGTAGAAATGGCTTGCATCCAATTCAGGTATTATTCTTTTTATTTGTTATCAAGAATTTCTCTTCGGTTTAGTGATGGAACTATATTTTGATACGCATGTAATACTACTCTGTAGGAATCATTGGCTAAATCACACGGCTCACAATGCGGTTTTTGCACTCCTGGTTTTATAATGTCAATGTACGCCTTACTGAGATCGTGTAAAAAACCACCCACTAAGGAAGATATTGAAGAAAGCCTCGCTGGAAATTTATGTAGATGCACAGGTTATCGACCAATAGTCGATGCATTTCGTGTATTTGCTAGAACAGACGATGCCCTTTACACCAAAAATGAATCTTCAGCCCTTTCGACCAATGAATTCGTTTGTCCTTCAACCGGTAAGCCATGTTCTTGTGGGATGAATATCAAGGACGAAAATGAAAATAAAGAAATCTCGTGTGGCGAAAATTTGAAGCCGATTTCAAACAGTGATATCAATGGAGCTGCATACACAGAGAAAGAGCTTATTTTTCCTCCGGAACTTCTGTTAAGGAAACTAACGAATTTGTTCCTAAACGGGTCAAACGGGCTTAAGTGGCATCGTCCGTTAAATCTCCGGCATGTTTTCGATATAAAGTCCAAATATCCATCTGCTAAATTAGTTGTAGGTAACACAGAGGTGGGAATTGAGACGAGGCTAAAGAATTTCAATTATCCAGTTCTTATACATGTCGCTCACGTGCCAGAACTTAATGAATTGATTGTAAAAGACGAAGGCTTGGAAATCGGTGCGGCGGTTAAACTTTCGGAGCTAGTTAAAGTACTTAAAACAGCTGTGGAGAATCGCGCCCCTCATCAAACCTCGTCATGTAGAGCCATACTCGAACAGTTGAAATGGTTTGCCGGTACGCAGATACGAAATATCGCGTCTATAGGTGGGAATATATGCACTGCAAGTCCTATATCGGATTTAAATCCAATACTGATGGCTGCTGGAGCAATATTTCGAATATCCGACAATAAGGGGAGTTTAAGAACATGTGCAGCTGAAAAGTTTTTTCTAGGGTATCGTAAAGTAGATCTTGAAAGTAATGAGATCCTTTTATCGGTTTTTCTGCCTTGGAATTCAAGATACGAGTTTGTGAAGGAATTTAAACAGGCCCATAGGAGAGACGATGATATTGCTATAGTCAATGCTGGAATGCGTGTTTGTTTCGAAGAGAGGGATAAAAAATGGGTTGTTTCCGATACTTCGATTGTTTATGGTGGAGTTGCTCCTTGTTCTGTTTCTGTTAGTGAAACAAAGAAATTTTTGATGGGGAAAAGTTGGAGCAAAGAGGTGTTGGAGGGTGCTTTGGGAGTACTCGAGAAGGAAGTTGTAATGAAGGAAGATGCACCTGGAGGAATGGTGGAGTTTCGTAAATCGTTAATATCAAGTTTTTTCTTTAAATTCTTTTTGTGGGTTTGTGACCAAATGGAAGGAATCGAATTATTTGACGAAAAAGTGCCGATTTCTCATATTTCGGCGATAAAACCGTTTCATCATCCTTCGGTTATGGGAAATCAAGAGTACGAAATTGTTAAGCATGGGAGTTCTGTTGGAGCCCCTGAAGTTCATCTTTCTGCAAGACTTCAGGTATGTATTTGAGTATATCTCTTAATGCAAAAAAAATGCTTCTTGAATCTATGTTTGTCTCGATTTTCACTCTGACATTTGCTATTTTTTTCAATTTTAATTAATGGTAGGTTACAGGTGAGGCGGAATATACAGATGATGTTGCGATGCCTCCAAACGGATTACATGCTGCACTGATATTGAGTAAAAAGCCTCATGCTCGTATACTTGAGATAGACGATACGGAAGCAAAAAATTCTCTTGGATTCGAAGGAATATTCTTTGCTAGGAATGTTCCCGGGGAGAATATGATTGGGCCGATTGTTAAAGATGAGGAGCTTTTTGCTTCGGAAATTGTTACTTGTGTTGGTCAGGTGAATTTTCCGATCATAAATATAAAAACAAAATAAAAAAATAGTTTCTCCAATATGAATGATTTTGCACTAACATAATACTATCTTGCAGGTTATTGGGGTGGTTGTGGCAGATACGCACGAAAACGCCAAGCGTTGTGCTCGAAAAGTTAACATTAAGTACGAAGAACTGCCAGCTGTCTTATCCATAAAAGATGCTATCGAGTGTAATAGTTTCCACCCCAATACCGAAAAGTATATGAGAAAAGGTGACGTGGATCTCTGTTTGTCAAAGCAGTGTGATAAGATTATCGAGGGAGAGGTTCATGTTGGGGGTCAAGAGCATTTCTATTTGGAGCCAAACAGCACCTTAATTTGGACGACTGATGGTGGAAATGAAGTTCATATGATCTCGTCTACTCAAGTAAGTTTCGCTCGTTACATTTTTTACAAAAAGAAATGCATAAATAGATTTTTCGGAATAAAAATGTGCTGAAAATAGTTTTCTTGCAGGCTCCTCAAAAGCACCAAAAATACGTTTCGCATGTTCTTGGTCTTCCCATGTCGAAAGTGGTGTGCAGGACCAAAAGAATAGGCGGTGGATTTGGAGGGAAAGAAACGAGGTCTGCTTTTTTTGCAGCTGTGGCAGCTGTTCCGTCATATTTACTGAATCGCCCTGTAAAACTTACGCTAGACAGAGATGTTGACATGATGGTAACTGGACAACGTCATAGCTTTCTTGGAAAGTATAAGGTATTATTTTCTCTGTGTATGAAATTTCTTACTGCCCCCCAAAAAAAATTTGATCCTCGAATTCAACATTAAAGTTTCGTCGTAGTGAAGTTAAGTGGCACATGATAAAATAGAATTAAGAGTAAATTACACCTAGACCCCCACAGGCTTGGAAAATTACATGTCCCCCCCTTGAGGTTTGGTTTTTCGGTTAACAATTTACCCCAATTGGCCATTGACTAACTAAAAAGTGATGTTCCATTTAGGTTTGGTTTTTCGGTCAACTCAATTTACCCCATTCGGCCATGGACTAACCAAAAAGTGATGATGTCAGCGTTTTTTTTAATTGTGATTCCTTTTTTTATCATTAAACAAATATTTGTAAAAAAATTATCGCCATCTTTTTCTTACCCTTTTAGATTTTATTTAAATAAAAAATGAAGGTTTTGATGTACTGTTTGCTCGAAAAACACAACCTCTAACGAAAGATTTGTGCGGAGAGAAATTACGATTCAATCAAACAAATATTCTGTAGATGATAAAACTACCAATTGCTGCATTTTGGTTGGATTTGTGGGTGAGACAAAACCTCAAGGGAGATATACGTAATTTTCCAAACCTGAGGGGTCTTGGTGTAATTTGAGCTAATCTCAGGGAAGTTAAGTTTAATTCACCCTAGAAATAATTTAATTAGTGAACTCCCTTGTCCAAGATTGTTTAATAAAAATGTTCGAGGACATAATTATCGATGATGTAATGGCATTTTGTAGGTTGGTATCACAAACGAAGGAAAAATACTTGCATTGGATCTTGAAATCTTCAACAATGCTGGAAACTCACTCGACCTTTCACTTGCGGTGCTCGAACGATCCATGTTCCATTCGGACAATGTATACGAGATTCCAAATGTTAGGATCAAAGGGAAGGTCTGCTTCACTAATTTTCCTAGTAACACTGCTTTTCGAGGATTTGGTGGGCCCCAGGGTATGCTAATTGCTGAAAATTGGATTCAAAGAATTGCCGTGGAAGTTAAGAAAAGCCCAGAAGAAATCAGGGTATGTGTTATACTATGCATATGGACTTTGTAATGTATAGCGAATATTTATCCCGTATTTGTACATTTTCAAACATTATTCAGGAGATGAATTGACAGAGAGAGGGATCGGTGTTGCCTTATGGTCAACGAATTGAAAATGTCACTTTGAATCGACTTTGGGATGAACTGAAGACATCGTGTGACTTTTCTGCTGCTCGTGAAGAAGTCGACCAATTTAATCTTTGTAATAGATGGAAAAAACGGGGGATCGCTATTATTCCGACGAAATTTGGCATCTCTTTTACTGCCAAGTTTATGAATCAGGTAGGTCTCGATCTTCATAGTAATGAACAATACTTCCAAGTTACGATTTTTTATTTAAAATTCTCACAATGTGAATGATTTTGTCTATTATTTTTATTTTTTTATAGGCTGGTGCACTTGTTCAAGTCTACACAGATGGAACTGTATTAGTGACACACGGTGGTGTTGAGATGGGGCAAGGTTTGCATACGAAAATGGCACAAGTTGCTGCTTCTGTTTTCAACATTCCGCTCAACTCTGTTTTTATATCGGAGACGAGTACTGATAAGGTGAGAGAATATTCATTTTATTTTAATTTTTTATTTTACTGATGAAATTTGAAACGGAAATGCGATAATGGCTAGTGAAATAAGAAGAGTATTTAATTATCGAGCGTTTAGAATTTCAGATGTCTAATGTAGTACGTATTTTGTCCCCAAGGAATTTCTTTCTAAAGTTGCAAGAATTTATGGGCGCTAATTTTCTTGGCATGTTTTCGTAAATAGGTTCCAAATGCGTCACCCACAGCAGCTTCCGCGAGTTCTGATATATACGGTGCAGCAGTTTTAGATGCATGCGAGCAAATAAAAACACGAATGGAGCCTATCACATCGAAGCATAATTTTGGCTCATTTGCTGAGGTAATCTTACACGAAAGGAAGCCTATTTTGAGGATATTTTTGTTTATTATGTTATGGCAGATTTTTTAATTTTTTTTAATTTTTTTAATTTTATTTTATTGTTATCAATAGTTAGTTTTAGTGAGCATTTAATTCATCTTGGCTTGCAAATAACACAGCTTGCAAATGCGTGCTATATGGAACGGATAGACCTTTCGGCTCATGGATTTTATAAAACGCCCGATATAGGCTTTGATTGGGAAACTTGTCAAGGAAATCCGTTTAGGTATTTCACTTACGGAGCTGCATTTGCTGAAGTAGAAATCGACACATTGACTGGAGATTTCCACACGAGGCAAGCCGATGTTATTCTCGATCTTGGATTTTCGCTCAATCCAGCAATTGATGTTGGACAGGTTCGTTTTTTTTTCTTTTTTCCTTTTTACCGAAATTCTTGCATGTCTGATAAAATTAACTGTTCTCAAAAGTCCATTTTAACTGCTAATTATCGAATGGGAAAGTAATAAACTTTCTGATAATTATGGAATGGTCAAGTTAATGGTTAACTTCGAATATTTACCACCATTATAAGATCGTAGACACAATTTGTTGACATGAAAAGAAGCTGAACAGTATTATAAAATAGTGCTTTCGAAAATACATATACGAGGATCTCCTATTATTTTGAGACCCTATTCATTGAAAAGTACAACACACGACAAATTAATAGACGGGAAAATCAAATAAATTCTTGAAACTTAAGCAACCTTAGCGAAAGAGGCTATGACTTTAATACTTGTGCGATGGAGGTGGTGGGGACTTGTAAATATAAGATGGTGGTGGTGATGGAGATGGTGGAGGTGGAGACTTGTAAATGTATGGAGGTGGTGGTGACGGTGATGGAGGTGGAGGAGATTTGTATACATATGGAGGTGGCGGTGATGGTGAAGGAGGTGGAGGAGACTTGTAGACGTATGGAGGCGGTGGCGATGGAGACGGTGGAGGAGGAGATTTGTATACGTATGGAGGTGGTGGTGATGGTGAGGGAGGTGGAGGAGATTTGTATACGTATGGAGGTGGTGGTGATGGAGATGGTGGAGGTGGAGACTTGTAGATATATGGAGGTGGTGGGGACGGAGACGGTGGTGGAGGAGACTGTAGACATATAGAGGTGGCGGTGAGGGAGAAGGTGGAGGCGTGGACTCATAA